CCTCTTTCTATCTACATATACATGCGCATATGCATATGCATACATAAACGTGTATATGCATGCATGTACATAAGCAGAAAGGTATGACGTTTTCTTTTTACGTTTTTCTCTTTACCTACCCAACTCGAGTTTACTCGCGAAACGCATTCTCTTCAATCTTGATCTTTTTTCGAACGAATGCATCGATCACTCGGACGTTTCTCGTGGGAAATTCGAGAAAAGAAAAGGCGGCCGTAGGAAAAGCCGGCCCGAGAGTTGAAGAATTCTGAAGAAAAACGCGAATGGAGACACCACCGAAAAGAACTTACGAAGAAGTAAATACTTATTTTTTGTTCTTCTTCTTATTTCGAAAAAGCACAGAATAAACGACGAATTACGGAGTTTATGGAAATGAAAAATTACGTTGATAAAAATTCCAATAAGTTCATCGTTAATAATGAAATTATTATCCATACGTTGTGTTATTATTATTATTATTATTGTTAAAATTATCATTAAAGTTATCATTATTAAAATAATATTGATGAACGTCGTGAACTTAAATTTAACGCAAATCTATAATCAAAAATCCTATAACTCTAACGACGAGAAGAAAAAAAAGGAATGTAAATTCTTGATAAGAAGATTGATACATGTGCGATTTGATTTATTCAAAATCAGCGAGAACATCTTGCCTACGATATATATATATATACTACACGCATACAAGCACACCAATGTAGGCTTGTTAAATTTAAAATTTTTCGAACAGTTCAATCTCATTTTTTCATCCCCCCGTACGTCCTTTCGGATGATCGAAAAATCTCCATCGACGGATGAAGGCATCGAGAGACGTAATGCCTCGAAGAAAAGAAAAGAGGGTGAGGTTAGAAAGGATGAAAGCTCGTAACGGTAGAACACCGCAAGTGACTATGTAAGAAGACGGAAATGGGAGATGAGAGAAAGAAAGAAAGAAAGTAAGAAAGAGAGAAAAAGAGAAAGAGAGAGAGAGAAACAGAGAAAGAGAGAGAGAGAGAGAGA